CCCCAAAACCCCAAAACCCCAAAACCCCAAAACCCCTGATGGGACTTAAATCACTGAAAAGATGTTTTTCAGTATATAATAGTTAATTCTGATGACAGAAGTTTTAAACTCCCAATCGGCTCACCAAGGCTTAGTCTGGCAGGATTTAAAATCGATGCGTGCCATGACTGACTCTATCATACATGAATGTAGCGGCTACAGTCCAGTCTTGATGTTCATGATGGGAGCAAGCTATTCAAAAGTCCAAGAAGAACTCACTCTTGAAGCCTTTCTGGAAATAGCTGCTAAAATCCAGGCTAAAATTCAGTACTTTGGTCAAGACAGCTCTGAAGCTAAGAGGATTTACAAAGAGCTGAATACGAAAGCTGACATTAGGGATGTTCTCAATCTCCCATTTTTCAAAATGAAGACTCTAGAGGAGGTCAAAGGATCTGAATCATCAGAAATTAGCAAAGATAGTCTAAAAAACAGGTAAAATTCGGCATAAAGCCTGGATTTTAGTCTAAAAAGAAGTAGATTTAGCCATGAAAGAGCCTGTGGGCTCTTTCATGGTCCTTCTTTTCAATGCACAAATCCTTTGGTCTAATTTCTGTTAAAATTAAAGAGCTTTGTCCATCAAATTGATACAAATTATCGCCAAAAACTTGTTCTTCTCTAATAAATGTGACAATTTAATTTAAGGCATATTTATAGGAGCGCGATGGAATCTAATACTAGTGAAGACACCACATCAGGAATTCTGATGCTTGAAAAATCATGGATCTCCCAAGGAGTCTTCTTTGTAATAAAGGTGGCAAAATCTTTATCTTCATTTACCCCTTTTCAAAGTTCACCGTTGAATATAGTAATAATCTTTAAAAGGGTCTCACCGTGACATATAGTACAGTCTACATATACAGGCTCACGAAGAATGGCCATGAAGGATTCCATGGCTTAGCCTATTCAAACCAGTCGGACAATAAATAGTTGTATTTATTCCAGGAATTTTGTCAAACTCCTGAAGTATCGACCATAACTATTTTAGCAAATTTATCCAGGAATCTCAAGAACATCTTTTTGGATCTGCCTCGGATTCTCAATGCTTGCCAAACCTGTTAGAGTCTGAGCCAGACTTGGCTCTGGAGGAGGAAGTCAGTTTCATAGAAGCCCCCATGCTTATTAATTATAAAGCTTTGAGGTCAAACTTCACAATAGGGTTTATTAGATTTCTGAATAGGAACACTTCAGAAATTCTGTCAGGTAAATTACCTAGCTACCTTTTTAGGCTCGATTAGTGGAAGCACTCTAATGAAGAAGAAGAGTATACTGCCGGAATGTCCAATCTGCTTAGATAACATCAAATCAATTGATCTTATTACCACTGAGTGTGGACATATGTTCCATACTGAATGTATGGAGATGCATTGCAAGTCTGAGATTGATTCAAAGTCTCTGCCTATCAAGTGTCCGCTTCAGAAGTGCAGGAAGGCAGTCCATAGCTCTCAAGTTAGGAATATTGTAGAGCCTGAGGTTTACAAGAAATTAGAAAGGTTCCAACTGGAGTTATTTGTTGAACAAAACTCAGCCTTCTACCATTTCTGCCCAAGTCCTGACTGTACCAATGTGTTTGAATGGGATGCTGGCAAAGGACTCCCTTCTAAACAAGACTGCCCAGCTTGCTTACAGACAATTTGCTTAAAATGCAAGACTCCATGGCATGAATTCTTCACTTGTGAGGAATTCTCAGAGATTAAAGACTCTAGTCCTGATGATATAAGGTTCCATACGCTTCAGAAGGAGCTAAAGTTCCAGCAATGCACCCAGTGCAAGTTCTGGGTGGAAAAGACTCAAGGATGTAACCACATCACTTGTAGATGCAAGTATGAGTTCTGCTACGTGTGTGGTGGCAAGCACAATTCCTGTAAATGCTAGGTCTTAAAATGCCTGTATTAATGGAGTAATTATACAGTTTCAGTTTCAATCGTAATTAGGCTTAGCGGGGTTTTGGGGTTTTGGGGTTTTGGGGTTTTGGGG